GGGGGGCTCCTGCCCAGGAAAGTCCGGCTCTGGGGAGAGCCGCTGAACCCCGCGATCAGCAGGAACGGCAGCGCCTCGGTTTCTCCGCGGAGGAAGCGGGAAGTCGGGAACCGCAGCCGCAGATCCGCTCGGAAGAAGTTTTGTGCGGAGCCGCCCTGGCAGGCAGTCGTTGCCCCACGAGGGACGAGCCGCTCCGAGGAGAAGTAATCCACATTAAAAACCCCATTCGTCTTCTTCCAGAGAATAACTGACCGTCTTTTTCAAGGGTCAGCGCGAAAAGCCTTGGGCCGGAATGCAAAGCTTCGTCCAACGAAGACAAGATGGGTTTAAGGCCGAACAATAACCCCAGGCTTTTACAGCGTTGGTTCCCGTCACTCCCCAGCCGCTGGAGTCAACCGACCACAGCTCTTCTTAAAAGTAGGTTTCTAGTTTCCACGGACACGGGAAAAGCCCAAACTCAGGAAACTAATGAGCTCCATGGATTCAGAAATCAGAATGCAAAGAAAGAGGATCCAGATTTTCTTTTTATCTCCTTTCTTTTCTGGGCTTGTCACATAATTTTGGATGCTTGGGTTGCCAATACCTTTTGTTTTTCATCCTTCCTGTAAACTGCAAACGATCCAATTACAGACTAGAAGGAACAGAAGAGGAGGGAGGGGGGGAACCAAGCGAAATGGAATAATCTATGGGGGAAAGAAAGTAGCTGAGATGAAAAGCTAATGAAACGGCAAATACAAAACAGTACAGAGAAATTACAGGGTATCTGCAGTTAGAGAGGGGAGGGCAAGCCGCGGCCGAGGCCAAGGGTTTGGGTCTCACCCTTGGGCTCCTGCCTGTCCACGCTCTCTCCCTTGGGCTGAGCCCGAGCCCACGCGGCAGCGCTGCCCCGGCCACGCCGGCTCCGTGCCGCAGGGATGCAGTTCTCTGGGCTGAAACAGATTTGCTGTGTTGTAAAACCACCCTGCGTGCAAGCAGAGAGACTCTCTGCAGCCTGACATGGACAGAACTGTTTGCCTTCTCTGCCTTTTTTTTTTTTTTTTTTTTTTTTGCAAGACAGAGAGGAGAAGCATGCCATAGGCTGAGAAAGGTGCTTAAGCAGCACTTGGAGGAGAGGTTAACCGGGCAGCCCTGGCGGCTGTGCTGACGCTCTGCTGTTTCGGCCGCGGGAGCTGACATTAAAAGGCCTTGCTTAAAGACAGGGCTCAGTGTCTGAGCCGCGTAATGAGGTGTTTCACACGGCCTGACCTTGTCGGAACGGCGGCGGCTTTCCGCCCGTTGCGGGTTGCGCTGGCCGTTCGCTCTGAGGTCTGGTCGTGCCGCCAGCCCCGGTGCCCTCAGCACCTTTTCCCGAGCTACGGGGCAGCCTTGGGGCCCCTCAGCTCCCAAAAGCTCCCAAGGCCCCAGAACGTCTCAGCCCGGACTGGAGCTCCGGAACGTCGGCGCGGACCCAACCGGCCCCGTCGCGCCCGTCCCGCACGCCCCAGAAAGGCACCGTCACCCGCTCCTCTCCTCTCCTTCCTCACTCCCCTTCCCCCAGAAACAAATTCCCACGCATCCCTCTGGTGGGAATTCTGCGAGCCCAGCTCCCCACGAGCGTCCCTTGAGCCCTGGAAACACCAGAAAGGCAACCTAGGAGCAGAAAACCCTCTTTATTTTAAAGCTTTTAAGGGAATATTGAGAAGAATGGAAAGGGGCTTTGATCTTTCTTTTTTCCCAAACTGAAAAAAAAAAAAAAGCTTTTAAAATAAATAGCTGACAATGTCTCTTATTTGAGTAATTCTTTGCCAGCAATAAATGTGTCACTCTAAAGTGCTTTATTTAGAAATAAAAAAGTGTTTTTCTTTGTAGAGCGCTCCGCATTACATCAAGTTAAAGGCTGGAAGCAAAATTCTCCTCCTCTTGCTGCATACCCCTCCCTGCCTGATACATTCATATATTCTCCTATAATCTGATCAGGGTTATAAAAATATAAAAAAAAGAGAAAAAAATAGAGAGACATCTGGCTCTCCCACACATCTGACATTTCCCTTTATGCCTGGTTTAACTTTTTTATGACTGCCTGGGTTCGCTTCATTGGAGAATTTCTCCCTTCAAATGAGTTTCCTGTTTTATGTCAGAAATTTTCCTTTAGACAAACCTGGTAATTTTTCAAGTTAAAATGTGTACGTTTTAAGTACTTAGGAAGTTTAAGGATCTGACTGATGGGGACATAAATCTGAGTTTATTCACGCTGGAGTCCCTGTGTCTAACTGATCCTTTAAAAAAAAAAAAAAAAAAAAAGAGAGAGAGGCAAGAAAGAGCCTGGCGTATTATTCACTTGTTTTACAGTAAGGAAAAAAAAATCCAAACTGTCAATTCGGTGAGTAATTTATTAGTGCCTGCTCACGCTCGCCAGCCTTTGCGCGGTAACGCCGGGGGAAGGCAGTACTTGCGCTCTCTGGAGCATGTGCTCGTTTAACAGCAGACGAAGAGGGGGCTGACGTGCTCTCCTCGCTCCCCTCCCCTGGGCTCCTTTGAAGGGGGGCGATCGCCGGCGATGCCAGGGGGGCCGGAGCCCGGCTCTGCTGGCAGGTACCGCCGCGTCCCGCCCGGACCCCTCAGCCTCTCGCCAGCTCCCTGCTGATGTCGAGATCTTCTAGTGCAACACCACATAAGGAATAAAAGCAGGCTGCGTCCTGTTGAATAACGAGGAGGAGGAGGAGGAAGAAAACCAATCCGAGAGGGGGGGGGACTTGAAACACCCAAATTATTTCGCAAATGCAGTAGGGAAGAAGGAAAGGCCGAGGTGCCTCACGGCAGCGGAGAACATGCGCGGTGCAGATGCGGGCAGCTGGCTCGAGCAGCCGGGTGACGTTGTCAGGGACCCCCCCGGGTGCTGCCACCGAGGGGCCCCCCCCCGTTGTGCCTCTGCAAGGCGACGGGGCGTGAGAGTCACTCGTTCGTGTCACCGCAGGCCAGGGAAAGATGCTACCGAGGTTGGGGGGGGTTTCTAAAGGCACTGTCCCCACGCCAAGACCTTCAAAGGCAAGTGAAGCTCATTTCCAAAAGGCATTTAAAAAAGACAGGAAAGCAGGACTTCAGGGAGGAGCAACAGCCCAGGTTTGAGAGCTCTCCTCCTCCTCCTCCTCCTCCTCCCCTGAACCTGCCTCACCGGCTCTGGTCTCAGCCCTGGAGCGGCTCCGGCTCCTGGCCGAGGTCTCTGCCCGAGGTCTGTGCCCGCAGAGCCGCCGAGGAGCCCGTGGCGTGGGCCAGCGTCCCCCCGCCCCGCTCTGGGGCTGGGCAATCCAAGCTGAACCCGCTGCCTTTCGCTGCTTAGCCAGTCGCCAGCAATTCCGCTGCGCAATCGCATGCCCCCACCCTCCAGCGAGCGCTGCGGATTGTTCCGGGGGAAAAGCAGCTGGGGAGAGGCTGCTTCTGACAAACGCACTTCCATCTTCACCCCGGTTCCTCCTCTGGGAAAAGAAGATATTTTCTGCTGGTGGTGGAGGTGACCGAGTGTCCCCCCAGGACCAGGGCAATGCCACCGGGGCCCTGGGGGGCTGGCTGCTGTGTCCCCCTCCCCACTGCCAAGTGGCCTTAGGAGAGAGGGGCTGGGGGGCTCTGGTAGGCTCGATTCCAGCAGAGGCTCAGCTTTCAGGTTTCATCCAAGTGCCTAATTAAATTTTCAGAGCGCTAACTGCTCACGATCCAACACAAATAGCTGCAGAAGCCAGAGGGGAGGCTGGGAAAGGGTGGACGAGGAAGAAAAAAAGGAGGGAGAAGCCTAAAATAAATAAATTAAACAAACAAATAAATAGGGAGAGAAATAACAGAGGGAAAATAAACTAAAAGCACCGGCAGTCCTGGCCGCCCGAGCGCTCATTAGCAGCGGGCGAGGAGGGAAGTGTCTCGCTGTCTGGGGCTGTCATCCTTCATCCTGACGAGCACTTAGGGAGTCGCGACCCCTTTCAGCATCACCATACAGACAATCAGCCCCTCGCATCGGTCACTGCCACTCGCTCGCCGCGTCCCCGCCTCGTTATGGGCGGATGCGGGCAGAGGGATATTATATCGGCGGGCAGCGGGGGGGGGGGGGGGGGGGCAGGCTGCTGCCCACGCCGCCCTCCTGCCTGCCGCTCACATGCCCGAGGTGGGCAGGGACGAGCAAGCAGCAAAGGCAAGAGCTGTCAAGCCGCGTCCCACGGGCCATGCCCGCAGCCCCCCGGGTGCCCCCGGCCCCGCACACCCCGGGGGGAGCTGCAGGGGAACAGCACATCCAGTTTTGCACAGGCCTGCGCGGCACACGCGGCTGTCTCCGCGAGGCCGAGCTGTCGGCAAACAATGATTTCACCGGGGTTTAAAGGGAAAACCACCATCCAGTGTCATCTGCTGAGAAGGAGCCCGGGAGCGGTTTGTGGAGAGGCCAGCGGCTGGGGGGACGCCCGCTGCGAACGAGCGGGAGAGGAGGCGAATTTTCAGCCTGCGGTGTTTTCGGCGCACCGCAGACGGAAGCTTGGAGCCGAGCCTGCTCCCCGGCAGCACAGCTTGTTACCTTGCTGCCTGAGCTCCGTTCGCGCGTCCCGAGAATTTGAAAGCATGGTGGCTAGCGCCGGCGGGAGAGGCCGCACTGACAGCCCCCCCGAGCCCCGCGCAGCCAGCACATCGCGGGCCCGATGCCCAGGGGAGGAGGGTGACACGGCAATCCCAGGCTGGTTCCGAGCAAGGAACACCACAGGAGCGGGGCTGAAAGCCTCCCTGCTAATTAACTGGGCCACCGGACGACTCGGCAGCGCGCGGAAGGCGCTTGCCAAGGGAGGGGATGCTCTCCAGTAACTCGAGTCGCGCCTCCATCGCCTCGTAAAGCAAAACAACTAAGCCTGTGGGGCGCTATCGCTGCGGGCGTAGCTCCTTCCCCCCCCGGCAGAGCCTCCCAGTCAGCCTGTCGTGGTTGGCACTGGAGGCACCAGCCTCACGCCAACACCAGCACCGCGAGCAGCTCAGGATCATCACACGGGACTCACCGCCTGGCAGAACAAGCAGCCTCAGTGGTCTCTCTCAGGAAGCAACGGCTCCGAACGCACCAAAACGCCTCTGGATTTTCTCTGCAAACAGCGCTCCTTGCCGGGAACTCCCATCTGCTGGACTGTTTGCTCCTCGTCAACACAGAGGAAATTCGGCCGGGTGCTTCAACACCTCTAGAGCAAACAGTCTGTAGTTATTTAAGCGAAAAAAGCAAACACATCTTTCACTGGAATGTGGAGGGGAAAAAAAAAGGCAGGAAAAGGACTCGGCTGGATCCTGCAGGACAGTTCATCGGGGCCACACCGGCAGCCCTGGGACAGTCGGCTCCTTCCTCCAGCCGGTAGCCGTGGCGCGCTCCCCGGGCTCGTGCCCCTTTTTGGGGAGCCCCCACTCTGGCCCGTGCCCTGCGTGGGGCTCACAGCCTGCGGGCAGTGCCACACCGAGGCACCCGGCCTCGGAGCCGCTGCCGCTACGGGTCGAGCTGCTAATTTTTATTTATTTATTTCCCTAATTTTACTCGGCAGAAATTGAATCTCCGTTCCAGTTTCTTCTGATTCCATAAAGGGATATCAGTTACACTGAAAGTCCAATTTATTCTTTTCTATGTATTCATTAAATCCCAGTTAGTTACTGCACTATTTAGTGGAATTGATGGTGTAATTAAGCTACAGGCAGACGTTAACAACCAGAACCGTCAGGGAGGTTTAGGATCCTTTACTACTCTGTTCCTGGTATTATACAGCTTCTAATTTCATAACAATTACTCTAACCGGTTGGTTCAAGCCGCACACTGGAGGCATACTGAGTACCCAGTGCCCAGTCTCGGAGCAGCCCTGGCTGCAGCGTTGCGCCGCCCTTCGCTTCGGCCTCGCCACGACACGTGACGGACCCCGGCCACGTTCTGCAGGAGGGCATTCGTGCTTCCTTTGCTTTGCTCCATGTCCTCTATCCATCCAATTCAGAAAACACATTCCTTGAGTGCAGTTTCTTTTTTTTAATACAGAAATCCCCGTGCTGGCTTCTTCTGAATTCATCCTGCTTTGCACCAACAGAAACCAGCAGAGCTGGAGCCCCCTCGCACATCTGTACACGAGATGCTCGAGCCTCGGTTTCGGGTTTCATAACATGGGAATAATTATCTCATTTTATTGCTGGGGGCTGGAATAAGAGGAGAAATTTGGGACAGTTTGCAAATTACTCCGAGATTCACAGATGGGGAGATGCGTTATCATTCTCTAAAGTGCATCAGCTCCAGAGAAGTGAACACCTGTAAAGCGCGTGCCTAACCCGATTTTCACTTGCATTCAGGTAAGTTAATCCAGCACAGCAGGGAGGCTGGAAAAGGCTGATAGTGCTGCCCAGGCACTCCTTCCTGTACAGAAATCCTATTTTTCCCCAATTTTACATCTGCTCTGGACCCTCCACTCCTTATCGCCTGGCAGAGGGAAGCGTCACCCAAAGCCAGAGCACTCGCAACTCACCCCACGGCTGAAAGAAAGGCAACGTCAAGGGGCTTCCAGTCTTCCCAGCACTGGGCTGCACCTCTCCTCCCCGGGCTTGCAGAAATCGATCCCCATCCTCTCCCGGCAGCTTCGGTTCCCAGCAGGCACGGTGCAAACTGCCCGGCAGATAAACACTTCCCCGCTGAAGTTTGCCCTCACCGGGAGGATGGAGAGCGGGCCCTGGCAGCCAAGGAGGAGGTGTCCGGCCCTGGGCAGAGACGAGATGCCGTGGGGCAGCGGCCGTGCTCGGGGCTCCTGGTGGCTCCGTCCCTGCCGCGGGGCTGTGGCACCAGCACGGCCACGCTGAGCTTCCCGAGGCTTCGCAGGACGGAGGTGAAGCTGTGATAGTCACGGCCAGCGCGTTCAGAGATTGCTTCCTGGTGCCTTGTCTGCCCAGAGATATCAGCAGCTGGGATCTTATCACGCTGTAATTACCAGACCTAGATTTGCATTAATTGGCTCTCTAGAGTAAAGTTACCTCCAATCTGTGTGCTGTGGGTGCTCAGCAGGAAGCGATTCACAGCCCAACAGGTTCGGTGGGACGCTCTAAGGAGGATCAGCCGCAGCCACCAGCGAGGGAGCAAGGGCCGTGGGGCTGCCCTCCCGAGCCCGGCGAGCTCCCGAGGAGGGCAGTGCTGCAGAGGAAAACCACGGCTTTGGGGAAAAACCACGGCTGCGGACCCCGGTACCACGTGGGCAGAGCCCGGCCCCAGAGGACAGAGCCCGGCAGCTCGAGGCTTTTGCAGCGACCGCTCTCCGGGGCCAGATCCCACTCCTCCTCTTCCCAGGGTCCCACCGCGGGGTAGGAACCCCGGTGCCAAACCCCCCGTGCCGGTTGACGCGCCTCACCCCCCGCGGCCGGCTGGGCTGAGCCGAGCCGAGCTCCTGCTGCCACCCCGAAACAGCCCAAGAGGGTCCCCGGGGAAGCGCAGAGCCGGATCTGCGCGCCCGCCGAGCTCTGGCAGCGCAGGAGCGATGCTCCGGATCCCGGCGCTGCCTTCGCTCCGTAATTAGCGTGCGTTTGTCTCTCTGACTTCAAGCGGTATTTAGCAGATTGGAGCTTGGGGCCCTGATTACTCCAGCGGCGTGATAAAGAAAGAGGTAATTGAGATGCCAGTCTGCTCCTGGGGGGCTGGGAGCCGTGCTGCTGGGACGGGAGCGGGTGAGGAGGCCAGCGATGGGGCAGGTCCCACGGGCACATCCTCCCCCTCCCACGCCGTTTGTTCCCCACCCGAATTTCGGTGACGTTTGCTTTGCAGAAGGCGATAACGTAGTAACGTGATGGCTTTTAAGAGGGGCTTGAATCCAAACCAGGGGCGGGTGTGCTGCAGGAAGGGAGGAATCCTGTGCCCACCCGCAGGACCAGGGGGCTGGGTGGGGCCTCGGGGGGCACAAGCCCCTGCCCCAGCACTGGGGCAGCCCCTGGGCAAAGGGCCTTTAGCTGCTCCTGGAGAGACCCTTGGCTGCAGAGGGTCTTTGCCCTCCCTTGGTGCTCAGTTCCAGCATCCCTCCAGGAGCAATCCAGCAGCTGACCAGCCCACCTCATTTCCACCAAGTTCAACTCATTTCTTCTCCTCATACCCCTGTGACCTTGGGGTGGCCAAATGCCATCTTTTTGTGCTTTTTATTTTCTTCTTTCTAAAATACTGTAACGTTTTGGAAGGCAGGTCCCTTCCCTCACCAGTTGTCTTTTCCAGCGTGCTCAGCCAGGGACGCAGCTCTGTCCTCGCCGCGTGGACAAGGTCATCTTCTCCACACCACCTGTTAAAATAGCACAATAAAATTACCTCGCACGTGCAGGACGCTCCTGCTAAGCGCAGCTTTGCTGATTTAAGTGCTGCTACACGAAACGTGGTGCCAGGGCTCTGCCTCCCCTCCGCCCGTGCAGCAGCCTCAGCGGAAGAGCGCGCTGCAGCCACGTTTGGGGCTTAAACCTTGCCGGAGGGAGCAGCTGAGATGTCCGGGTTGGTGCCACGGTCCCCCCGACCCAACAGCTCATCCGGGACCGGCCCCTCCAGCCTCGCTCTGCCCAAAATGCTGCTTCAAATGCCACTTTGCACCTTGCAGGAGCTGGAGGCTGCGCCGAGGGCCGGCAGGTACGCGTCTGCCGGGCACCGCAAAACCAAATGCACTCCTTCAGCATGGGAAATTGCTCTTCTATTTTATTGCAGTTGCAGCTGAAAAATAGAAAATAAGAAAATCATGCAGGGAAGCTAAGTTAGAAATGGGTTTAAAAAAAAAAAAAAGAAAAAAAAAAAAACCAAAAAAAAAAAAAAAACCAAAAACCTGTTTTCTCGACTGAAATGAAAACGCCTGAGAAAATCTCAGAATCATCATCTGGGCGACGGGAGCCTGGAACGCAGAGAGGGGGTCCTTCCCTGGGGCAAGATTTTTAATAACTTCCCAGCTCTGGGAGGCTGTTAGCGAATCTCAGCTGGAAGATTTTTTTCACCCAGCTGGATCTTGCAGTCTTCTTACATCATTAACTCACCAAGATAATTTTTGATGAGGGGTTTGTTTGGGTTTTGTTTGATTTCCTTCCTGGCAAACCTGGCAGGTAAATCGCCTTGCTTTTCTGTTTTCCAAGGGAGAATGAAGTCTCTGAAGTGACAATCATTCTGCCCCGCCGGACGCGCCGACGCCCCGTTCCGCGGCTCCTCCGCCGGCCTCTGCAGCGGAGCCGCACGGAGGGTTCCCGGTTGGTGGCTTCGGGCTGCTCCACTAATTGCTAATCGCCGTCCTGCGAGCGCCGGGGCTGGGTCTCAGGGGGACGCGAGGCAAGCCGAGGCGCAGCGACGCTGCCACGTCCCGTTCCTTCGCTTACGCTTCAATTGACAGATCGGGGGGCGAGAAGAAATTTTTCTTTCAGATCACATTAACAGCAATCATAGTAGTCTGTCTTTGTTCTTTCTTTCTAGCTGAAGAAATTCCTCGCTATTCCCAGGGCCTAAGGTCAATGCTTTCCTTTCTCCTGCTCTCACTGCCACACATCTGTTATGCTTCTCTCTTTCTGTAGTTCTGAAGTTTGTAACAGGTGCCGCGAGATGTATCGTGGCCTCTGGTAAATGAAGGTTTTCTGTAAACTCTCCTGAACTGCTGTGTGAACGCCCAAGATAACAGAGGGCTTTATCCTGCCACTGCGCTCCCTCCTAGACCCAGGAAGAACTGGTCTTTGCTGCACATAGAACAGAACAAGTTGGGGTTTGGTTGTTTTTTTTTTTTTCTTACCTTCCACTTAGGATTTGATGCTGTTTTATTTTAACTTCTACTTTCAGGAGCCGGGCCTGCAGAAATCCAGCCCGTGAACAACACTGCAGATTTGGGGACTGTTTGGGCGTGCATCCGTCCCCTGAACGCTGGGAGTCTAGACGGCTTCTGGTCTAGCAGGCCATTCACAAAAGTAACTCCGAGTCATACGTTCAGTCCTTACCAAGTTATTACTGGAGAATGACCCCACAGCCATGGGCTTCCTGGATAACCTAACGGCTGCTCTTGCACCAGTTTTAACTGAGTCGCCTTTTATCAAGTGTTTTCTTGGTCGTGCAGCACAGGGAAGGATAAATATTGCTCCTGCTAAAGGAAACAAAGTGGCTTTGGCTGAGAAAATATGCCTGGGGGGAAAATAGTTGTGGAGTGGCTGTTCCAGATGCTACAGGTACAGAGGGAAAGGGGTCTCCCTGGGAGGCTGTTCCCCCCAGGCACCCTGTCCTGCCTACATGAGTCACCCCTGGCTTGGAGGGATTACTGAGGAGAGACAGGGGAATCCGATCTCCACTAAACCCCAACCATTTGTCACTCTGCAAGGAGCGGAGACAAGGAGGCAATTAGTGCGAACTGGGAGGCAATGTTTATTAACTTGTCCATTAGTCAAGTGTTTATGGGCGTGGGTGTTTGCTCATCCCTGAGGGGTAATGCGAGGGTTTAGGTGGGGTCGCTGGAAGGCCTCCCCATCCCTCTCCAGATCCTCAGCTTTCATTAAAAAGATCATAAAAATCAAATAATAAAGCAGTTATCCGGCTGTCACTGGCTGCACGGCCCTGCTGAGCAGCAGAAACGGGGTGGCTGCTGTCCCACCTGCATTTGCAGAGAGCCTGAAGCGGCACTGCCAGGTGAGCAGAGCAGCAGCCCTGGGGCGGGGGGGGCCCGTCAGGCATCTGCGGGGGCTTCGATGGGTCCCTGTTCAACGTGAGAAGGGCAGGTTACTACAGAAGAGCCATTGCCACGGGGGGGGGGGACTTTAAGCGCTTTCAGTGTCGACTCAGTTTACAGATTTGGCTCAGGAAATGGATTTCTTCAAAGCGGAACAAGACGGCGGCGTCAGCATGAGAAAGCACCGTAAGAGCGAATGGCACATCTTTCCTTTCCAGGTAGCCTTGAGCCCGCCTCCCCTGCTCTGCAAAGATCCACCGCTGCCCTTTTTTCACTTCGCTTGGTTCTTTCTCTCGAGGGACAGGGTTCCCCACGTTTGGCATATGCAGTCATCCTGCTCAGCTTGAATTTCCCAGCGAGGCCAGGGCGGAGTCCTGCGCTTCCCGGCGACGTGTGTCCCATTTTCTGCTTTCTGCTGCGGCAGAGCCAGCGTGCCTTCGGTGCTTCAGCGAGGGACGCGCTGTACCGGTCCCTGCCCAGAGCACCTCTCCCATCGGTCCCGCTCCGGGCTCCCAGTTGTTTTTGTTATACCTGTGGGTGGATGTGGGAGCCTTTGATCATCCAGGATCACTGCAGCATTAGGAGCTTTCCGACAGAAGCGGATGCTCTGGATGCAAAAGTGGGTCACGTTCGGCTGGAGATGCTTTGATGCACAGGGGAGGGGGGGATGCCGGGCTGGAGGAGCTGCCTGCGTCTGCCTGCGCTTCAAATCCAAGCACTGGGACCTTTCCTGGGTGCGCTTGCAGGGCCCGGTGGCGCCGGTGTACGCCAGGACAGCAGCTGCTGGGAGCAGGAATCACGCCCGGCCACATCCCCAGCACCTATTTCCTCAGATGTGTTCTGCTGCTAATGAAATAACGTAAAAGACATCATTCCCCGCCACTTCCAGTTACAACCCTGCGCAGGAGCCTGCCAGCATTCCCCTTCTTCACGAGTGTAACAAACCTGTGCTGAAAAGAAAGGCCATTAATAATAATTACCCACAAAGAAGGAAAAAAACCCTCTCTCTTCCTTCTTTCTTTTTTAATGAGCCCTAAAAAGAAAAAAAGTTGCTTAATTGAAAAGCTTCCTACTCTGGAGACGATACCAACACCTCAGAGAAGTGCAGGCAGCTCCGGCACATGAAAATGCAACGAAGGGACATGTCAGCTGGCGCCTTCCAGGGGTGCGAGAAGCAGACCTGAAAGTCGGGGCTCACACCGACACCGTCGCGGAGATTCAAGGAACCATCAACAAGGCACTAATTGGATTGAAAGGAGGCGGCAGATGGAAAGAGAGGAAGCAGGAGAACTGCTTTGGAACAAACGTCATTGGAAACAGGAGCCTGGGCGAGCAGGAGGGGCCCGTCCTGAGCCCAGGAGAGAAGCAGGGGGTGATGCTGCAGCAGAACCCTGGTATCCCCAGCAAGGGTTTGTCGGGTTGGGGCTTCTCCCCCAGCCTCTGCAGGGGTTGTGGGGGCCCAGGGGGGTGATGCACCCACCGGAGCCAGGGAGAGGCCAGCCCGTGGTGTGGGAGGACACACGTGGCTCTGGGAGCAGCACCTCTCCCTTTGGTGCCTTAGCAGAGGCCGTAACGGACGCGCAACATCTGTAAGTTATGAGAACTGGTTTCCCCCCGCCGCACTCATGCCCGTGGGGGGTGGCCTCTCCCCGCCCGGCAGCGGCCCAGCCCCAGGCAGAAGACACTTCCACGGGGGCTTATTGATCGCCTCTCGCATTCGGCTACTCACCCGCTGGATCAATGAGATGTGGGATCCGGGATGTGGCAACGCGCTCCTCCCAGCGGCATCCTGCACGCCACGCTGGGGAGCTGGGAACGGCGAGAGCCACTCGGGACAGTTTCAGAAAGCACAGTGTTTGGAAGAAGATTGGAAGATCCAGAGTGGGCTCAGCACCCGGACGCTCTGACACTCCTCTCCCACCCCATTCCACATTTCCAGTTTAAACTATTTTGTGCCCTTGCTTGGATGCAACGCGCTGCCCAGGACATCTCAAAGTCCTGCGGAGACATCGCTCGCACGCCCGGTGCATCAAGGTAACTACCCCGACCTTAATGTGCGAGCGAGTCTCAAGACAGCCTTCAGCAACGGGCTGGAGGATGCTCATCCATTTCCACGCAGGCATTTTGCCTCCCTCTTCCCACTGCGCTCTCCGAACTCTGCCCCGGCCCCCTCCGCGTCTCACCACGGTTGTAGCTGTACCCGCTCGTCCCAGCGGCAGTGCAGGCTTTTCCTGGAGCTCGGGGAGGAAGGGCCGTAGCGCATCCACAGCAGCAGACCTTCGCCGCTCTGCAGCTCCCTTGGGAGGGTGAGGATTCGCTCCGCAGCGTCTGCTCCCGAGGCCAAGCTGCTTTTCTCAGTCACCCGCTCCGGCCGTAGCCCCGAGCTGGCTCGCTGCGCCTGTCCTGGCTGCGGATGCTCTTGCTGTACTCCGTAATTACGGCACAGCGCATCTATAATTACCTGAAACCCAGAGTATCCCGTTCATTATTTTTATGCAGGGAAATGCTTTTCTTGTCAGACGCCCCGGCTGGGCTGATACGTGCTCGCTGGGCTGTCCCTTAAAGCAGCTACGCAAATTGGACCTTACTACCGTGGGGATAAATAGCATAAGGAAGAGGATGCCTACAACAGTCTGTCGCAAAGTTAACGTTGGGCTCTACCTCCCAAATTGGCTCAGAGACATTAGCAGGAAGGAAGGAAGGATCAGATGCAATAATAAACCTGCTTACCTGCTCATTAATTTAATCTTCTCTTTTTTCCTCTCCTCTTCCAGCCTTGTGGTTTCTGTAACGGTAGAACGACTAAAGAATAGCAAAGTCCTAGATGAAAGACAGACTAGGTCTGGAAGCAGAAAGATTAAAGGAGAATTTTTAGGATTAGTCTTTGATTATTGTTTTTTTTTGTTTTTTTTTTTTTTTTTTTTTTATCTTGGGTCTGTGGTGATTATTCCTGCTCCTCTCCAAGCGAGCCTTCTGAGTTTATCCAAGGGAGCGTGTGGGCTCTCAAGCAAGTTCTGAGCATTTTTCCAAGGACACGACAGTGAACGTGCCTTAGCAGCGGCGGGGGTGGCCGGAGCCCCACACGCCGCCGGGACCCATCATCTTATCTCTGCATGTCAGCGGGGACGCAGCCTCCTCCCGGGTCACCCCAAGCCTGGAAGCACCTCTGGCTCGCACCTCTTCCCATGGCCCTGTAGAAACAGGAGAGGCGTGAGCCACAGAGGAGTTTAAGTTTTTTTTTTAATTTCAGGTGAACCAGCAGGACCGCGATCTATTTTGTGCAGGGTTTGCTGCTGGTTGCAGGGCATCCTGGACAGGCATCCCCAGGGGACAGCCACCTCGCGCTTTCCCAGGGCAGCTGCCGAGGCTCCCTCCCAGCTTCTCTCTGCCCAGGTGTTTTTTCTGATAGTTTTGTGTTTCCCCACCCTCCCGCCCTCCAGCTGCGGCTGGAAGTGTTCCCTGTGGGCAGGTGATTTAGGGGATGAGAGCTTGCAGGCTGTTAGGCAAGCAGGGAAGGGGAAGCGGGTTCTGAATCACTCGGGCTCAGATTTATAGGAGCGGGACCCAGCGGGGGACCGCAGCAGAGTCTGGCCCTACGAGGCAGCAGCAGCATTTCCAAACCAGGAATGTTCCTGGGGGGAAGACCCAGCCCGACGCCAGAGGAACAGATCCCAGCTCTGCTCAGCTAGAGGAGGATAAGAAGAGGCTGCTTAAGATAAATTCCTGCAAGGGATGCACACCATGGCCACACACCCAGATGTGGGATTTTACTGGGAACAGCTTTTTCCTGGGGAATTGGGCTTTGAGTCCATCCTGGAAACCGGGCTGAGCACAAGCAGGAGGGCTCAGGTCCTGGAGATAAAGAACCGTGGTGAGTTGGGGGGTGCAAGTGGCAGAGGGTGGCCGCAGCCCCAGTGGGATGGGGGGCAGAGGCTCCGACCCCAGCCCACACAGACAGTGGCTGGGCAAAGCCAAGCACCACCAGTGAGTTGGCCTTTATTTAGCCAACATCCCTGGAGTGTTTCCAAATCCAGTGCCCAAACAAATAAATAAAGCAGCAAACACAAGTGAATTTCCTTGATTAAAAAAAAACAAAACAAAACAAAACAAACAAACAAACATTTTCCTCACCAAGAAAAACAACCAAAGGGCATCCCTGGGAGCCTGGAGCACCAGCTGCCCCGGCCAAGGCCGGGCGGCACGGCTCGGCACGGCTCGGCACAGCAGCCACCGCCTGCTCTCTCATGCAGGGCAGACCACGGCATCGGATCGATGAAGCATCCAGACGGCAGCAGGCTGAGCCGGGCTCAGAATATGATTTATAACCTCGCAGAGAGTCTGAAGTGGTATGGTTGGGTTTCTTATTGTAACAGCCTCTCGGCGAGCAGTATCCAATTAGGTGACCCCCCAGGTCTCCCTATTGATTTGGGGGGGGGAAGGGTGTACTTTTCTCATTATGCCTTCAGCAGCAGCGCCGGTGGGGCTGGGGCTAGAAGCCCTGGCAGAGGGGCAGCCTCTGGGGTGCAAGGGGGGCTGTGCTGGGCTCAGGGGTCACCGGCAGCCTGGCCGGGCATCCCTCCTCCCGGGGCCCCGCTGCTCTCCTACCTGGGGCAGATGGGGGGTCCCAGGGGGTGCCAGTCCCCCTCCAGCTGCCCGGAGCTGCCCACCCGCCACATCTCCCAGCTCCTTCGGGCCAGGCTGGGCGGTGCTGTCACCTCTTCCTTCCACAAGAAGTCCTCCACTGCCAGCCTGGGAGTAAAAAGGTTCATTTCTCAAGCAATTCTACCTCCCCCTCGCTCGCTAAACAAAGGAGGGGGAAGAGCCCTAGAAGACAGAGTTCTTAAATTAATCAGCACAGTTTTCTAACTAATGCCCTTTATGTTTTACATAATAATATAAAGCTTTATTCAGAGACAACAGCCTCCTACATCAAAGAGCCCTCTCCCATTCCGAACTTTTGCGCCCTTCTCCTTGCAATTAATGCAGAAGGATCTAAATAAAGTTACAGAGAGCAGCTTGCAGATAATATCTCGAGCAAGGAAGCAGGGCTGGCTCTGCTCGGCGGGCAGAATCACTAAAGCAGCTTTCCTCACTCTTCGCTGCCCACAGGGACCCGTTCTGCTTTTGTTTGGCCACGTGTGTGTGTGGATAAAGGCGAAATTGCCGGAGCAGCCGCGGTGACCGGGATTGTGGTGCTCTTCATCCCACTGAGCTGGCATCACCGCCTAGGAGGCAGCTCAGAGGAGGAAGTAGTTTAATTTGATTCTACAATCTCAAAGCCCATGAGTGGGAAGCTTTGTGTCGTGCACTGTGCAAACACACCGGGACAGGCTCTGGTGACCTTATTTACATGGCTCCCTGACCAGCCTTAATGTTTTGGAGGCTTCCTAGACTGGTTTAGGCTGGAAGGGACCTTAAAGCCCCCCCAGTGCCACCCCCTGCCCCGGGCAGGGCCCCCTTCCCCCAGCCCAGGGGGCTCCCAGCCCCGTCCAACCTGGCCTGGAACCCTTCCAGGGAGGGGGCAGCCACAGCTGCTCTGGGCACCCTGGGCCAGCGCCTCACCCCCCACACAGGGAAGGATTTCTGCCTTAGAGCTCACCTAAATTTGCCCTCTGGCAGTTTAAAACCATCACCCCTTGTCCTACCCCCACCCCCTGATCCAGAGTCCCTCCCCATCTTTCCTGTCCCCCCTTCAAGCCCTGGGAGGCCGCTCGAAGGGCTCCCCGGAGCCTTCTCTTCTCCAGGCTGAACCCCCCAACTCTCTCAGCCCGGCCCCCCAGGGGAGCTGCTCCAGCCCCCCCAGCATCTCCGTGGCCTCCTCTGGCCCCGCTCGAGCAGCTCCGTGTCCTTCTGCCGTTGGGGGCCCCCGAGCTGGCCCCAGCACTGCAGGGGGGTCTCCCCAGAGCGGAGCAGAGGGGGAGAATCCCCTCCCTGGCCCTGCTGCAGTTTGCCCGGTCCCCCCTCTCCAGCCTGCCCAGGTCCCTCAGGATGCCATCCCTGCCACCAGCGTGTCCCCCACCACACAGCTCGGTGTCATCAGGGAACTTGCTGAGGGTGCCTCGATCCCACTGTCCACATGCCAACAAATATGTTAAACAGTGCCAGGCCCAACCCTGACCCCTTGGGAACTCCACTCGTCACTGCTCTCCTGAGACATCGAGACATTGACCCCAGTTCTTTGAGTGCAACCACCCAGCCAATGCCGCATCCACAGAGTGCCCCATCCCTCAGACCCAAAGCTTATTGCAGGCTGATGCCCAAGGCCATGCGACCAAGGGCACCCACCCCAGCCCTTTGTTATTTAATGCAGTTACAAAGTTTTGCCATGAAGCTGGACGTTTCACTTTGGAGGAGCACGGCTATCACTCATCGTTGCCGCCGAGGGCTGAGAAACCGAAGGCAGCAGTGGGTACGGCTGCCCTGCACCCAGCGCACAACGGCCCAAGAGCAAGATCCCCACCACCTCTCCAGCCAAGACAAAGACTCCAGCTCCTTTCCCCCCATCCTCCTCACTTGTCATCCGTTCGGAGGGCCAGGCCAGCGCCGGTGGCTGGAGACTGTGACTTTGGTGGGCTCCCAAGTCCCCTCTGTCCCGTGCCGAGAGCAATCCCTCCGCATTCCCGCCAGCTGAGCTCTCCCATTGCTATTCTTGGATCTCTGCAAAATGCTAATTGCTGTGCCTGACCTCCCCAGGATAACAAGGGAAAACCTCCCCTAATTAGCACTGCAGTCTGTGGGTGAGAGAAACCAAATGTTGACTGTAGAGCGGCTGCACTTACTGTAAATTCCAACATATGCTGTCGAAAAACGCCGCCTAAATAAGGCTTCAGAAGCACGGGGTGTTTAAATAATAATGAATACCCACTGCTGTTTATTACAGAACAGAAACATAATAAAAGGCAAAGCTGTGGCTGCTTTTCCTCCTCCCTCCCAGGACGCCTTGAAAAGGGCGGCAGCGGAGGAGCGGGAACCCCAGGAACGTGCACAATATTTAGGGGTGTTAGCAAGGAGGCCGTCCAGTGTCCCTGCGAGCTGGGCAGCTATTCCTGCCCCCATTTTGCCAGCAAAGAGAAGGTGCCAGAGGGCCAGGGGGAAAATTTCCTGCCAGGAGCCCGACGGGGAGTTCCAGCACCCCAGGCTCCTGTGGATGGATGAGCTCTTCTGCTGTAGGGGGGCTGAAAACAAGGGGAGACCAAGGGCTTTGGGATTCCGAAACCGGAGATACACGGAGCAAAAGGGAGTTGTGTGGAAACCTGAGGGATGGAGCCGGGGCTGAACTCCTTTGCGATGCACCGCCACCGACTCGCGTGAAACCCCGGCACAGCAATTCAGCCTCCGCCGTCCTTATGGCTGGGCAAAATCCCTCGGGGCTCTTCAGCTATTTATGCACATCCTCCCGCCTACAGCGCGCCAGGACGCTGGCGGTGCCAGCAGCTCCCCAATGGAGCAGGCCCACCGGCCGAGTAACCTCGGGGTGAGACATCACCCGCTTCGGCGCGATGCTGCTGCCCCGGGCCTGCCCAGGACCCCTGGGCCCTCTCCTGTCCCCCGTGCAGGGACAAGGGGGTGGCAGCAGCAGAAGCCGAAGCGGCTGCGGTGCCCCTCGAGGGGACCCTGCGGGGTGGCAGCGGCGAGGACTTGCAGCCGGTGAGATGTTCTCCAGCACTTCTGGGTTTCCGCTGGTTATTTGTGGTAGTCCAAAGCATATAAAATATTTATTTGCTCCTAATTAGGTGTAATTACCGCTTAACCTAGAGGAGGGATGTACCCAGCGCGCCCGGCAGCTCAATACATTTACTGCTGAACAGCCTGGGCTGCAGCTCATTAAACGAGCGGGGCTCCCGCCCGCCCAGCCTCTCGCCGGGAAATGTCCGTACGGGGGCTGGTGGGGAGGACCCGGCGTAGCCGACACTCACACCCGGGTCCCCAGGCTCCCCGACAAGGTGCCCAAAAGCGAAGCTGGCCTGGCCTCACCTCTGATTTCGGAGCGATTCTTCCCTCACCTCCTCGGCAAGCCAACTCCAGCTCCTCCCTTGGCTCTGCCTCTGCGGAGCCTTCCCGCCCGGAGCGGGGTCCTGGCCGGACCTCGCTCCCCCCGTGCCGCTGCTCCCCGCCACGCACCTGCATCCCAACAGCATCCCTCGGGGAAGGGACGCTGCCCGTCACCATGCCCCTGCCTCTGCCTC